ATACTTGCATTCCATCGTCAAGGAAGCATTGCGGTTATACCCAGCAGCTCCTCTCTCGGCTCCACGAGAAGCCATGGAAGACTGCACGGTGGCCGGTTTCTATATCCCAAAAGGCACTCGACTTCTCGTGAACCTTTGGAAGTTGATGAGAGACCCCAAAATCTGGCAAAACCCTTCGGAATTCAGGCCCGAGCGGTTCCTTAACGAACATGCCGACTTCGATATTAGGGGTCAAAATTTCGAGTTCTTGCCATTTGGTTCCGGCAGAAGGATGTGTCCCGGTGTCACGTTTGCGATTCAGATCTTGCACTTGACGATGGCTCGGTTGCTTCATGGCTTCGACTTGGGGACGGTATCAGATGAGCCGGTGGACATGACCGAAGCACCGGCATTGACTCTACCTAAGGCTGAACCGCTGGTGGTTACCGTCACTCCAAGGCTATCTCCCAAGCTCTATGCATGAAATATTTTATAGATGAATAAGCATGGCAACTGGCAATTCATATATTTATGTTTCTTCTTCTTCTTCTTACTTTTTTTCTTTTCTTTTTGTACCCAAAATAACGTACTTCAAAACCGTTTCTTTTGTGCGAGAACAGTTGAACTTGGTAATAATTTATTTTGTCATGTTTCCACTGGGAAGTAATTATGTCTTGTTTCTTGGTATTTAGAGTAGATTGGCAATAACAATATTGGTAAAAATAGAAGTTCTGCACACAAAAATGGTTTCTTGGGGTATAATAATTTCAGTTTCCTTAAGGTATCAAATTGGTGACAAGTCTATGTTTCATATATTTGACTTGGTGAAATAACAGATCACAAGAAATCAATAACCTAGAGTTCACTTCATCATGCTAAAAGGAGATTAATTAGTCCATTCTAATGGGTAAAAGAAAATATAAGAGGTTGACCTTGTATAATTTGTCAATGGAAGAAAAAAGTTTTACTAGAGATTAACATTATTGATGTCGAAGATCGTGGTTTAAGTTGATACTAAATCCGTCTTCTTTCCTAAATTTGTTTCCATAAAGAAAACTATGAATATTAAACTGAAAGTAGCTTCAAACTTTGTTATAAAACTAGTAACGGATTCATCCATTTGATTCTTGTTTTAGGCAACACCCACCTGTATTTCGCCTTGCCCATCCCTGCATTGCTCCGTCGTAATCAATGTGTGACCTCAACCTTACAAAGCCTTCCCTGCCCGAAATCCGTATTGTAAACTCGGTGTCAATGGTGAACCGGCAAGTGGCAACACCGGTAAGACGCCCTGTTTTAGCTCCTTCTCCAATACTCCATGCCCCATTGTCTAGCTTTTTTTTTCTCAGTACAGCCTGGTAGTAAACAATTCCCAAGGTAACTTGTTCGTACAGGAAATTGGAGGCAGTTCTGGCGATCTTATGTAAAAAGGAAGTAGTACAACTTACAACTTATCTTCATCGCCGTTAGCAACACTGTTGATTTAATCAAGCAAATGCTTTGGTCTGTATCAGCTGCCGTGACCAAATGCTTTGGTCTCTCCACATGTGGCTCGGACCCTGTCTGCTGTTACATCTTGTGTTGATATTGAATTCTCACTGCAAGATGATAACAGTGCCAATAATCCTTCAACATAAACAATTCCATGTCCCCACCAGGGTCCTTGGTCATGTCCTTGTCGAATGGAGGAGGTGGATTTTCATTGAGACAAGACGAGCCACTGCCCAATCTATAAACAGACGTCCAAGTCCTCATGAAATGCATGAATGACTTGCCGTCACCAACCACATGACAATAAGTCAACCTAAGGCAAATGCCGGAGTTCAGGACCTGAAGGGCTGCACACGAACACCGTCATCATTTACCTGTGCTGATCATAGTCGAGGAACAAAGGGGTGTAACAATTTAACATCTTGTGTATAATTGGCTACGACGTGATCAAAATCACAGTGGATTCGGGGGCCATAAAGGGTATGAAGTCATAACCATTCATGTAATAGATGCAAGGCTTCCCGAGCGGTTGAGGGCACGTGATGTATGCTGCGTAAGGGGAAAAAATGTTGTAGAGTTGCAGAGAGGGGTTGTTTTACCAGTGGAAGAGTGGTTTTGATTAATGCAAAGTACGACGGGGAAATTCATAGAAGAAAAGTCGTTGTACAGCTAGAGAAAACCATGGCAGGTCGAAACAAGTGAGAGGAACAGAGATAGTTGGAACTGAGCCCGAAGGAGGCGAAACATGGAAGCTATTAAGACCCTTAACCGTACTGGTTTGAGCCATTTAGGATAAGATCCATGAATTGGTACTGGTCATAGACAAATGTTATCTCATCTTTTTGGTTGAGTTTTTAGTTTTAAAAGGCCAAGTCACAAAACAACGCGAAGGGTCTCTAGAACCTAGGTGTAAAGTGAATACGCATGCATTTTGTAGGCAAGACACATTTTATACTAAAAACTTATAATTCAATTATAGAACATATTCAAACTCATTATCTACCGATTCACTCTTAATGCATTTAGGAGGCATTTGATTAATGAAAAAGAAAACAGGAAATAATTTTTTCCAGAATTACATTCTCACGTTTGTTTCAAGGAAAAAATTATTGTCAGGGAATAATCTTTTCTCAATAGTATCATTTTTTGGTTAAAATAGTGAAAATGTCATTACCTCCAAATTCTTAGGTTTTAGACAATTCCCGCCACCCAAGATAAGAATACCCTAAACTAGTGAATTCTTTTTATAATAATCTTTTTGAATTCTTATTTTTTGTACTTTACTTAAAACAACAAATATATGATAATATACAAATAGTTTAATTAAGTAATTAATAAATTTGAATATTTAAAATTATTTTATATTTTTAATATTCAATATATTAATTATTTATAATTTTATGAGATGAAAAATAATATGATTGTAAAAATGTAATTATTAAAAAAATATCTAACTTTAAGTTATTAAAAAATAGATCTTATACATTGAAAATTATTTATCTTTATCCACTCGAGATCATGATATTTTTTTTTCATATTATATTATGTTATATTTTATATAAATAAATATGATGCTTATGAAAATTAGCTAAAAATATAAGTTTAATATACTGATTATATATTAAATGTATTTTTCTCAAAAGTTAGTAAAACAATTAAAACATTTCTATGAATTTTCATTCGAATATTTATAATTTAATATTAAAATTTATTTAAATATATATATATATATCACAAGAATAATTTGGTAAAATATGCATTCAAATAATGTTATATTTCTCCAATCAAACATTATAATTTTACATTCTTACTAAACAAACCAAACAAGATAATACAACATTCCTATAGTAATGTTTTTTTATATAACCACCGATTATCGATCTATTGATTGACTAATCCGGATCGGATACTGCAGAGGCAATGGCGACCCTCTCAACCTAGTTTGTTCCATTCCCATAGTAATATTACATTCTAATTCTCAAAGATAATCTTACAATTCGTGAACCAAACATCCCCTTAATCCCATCCTTACCATGGTTATCAAAACCGGACCGGCCGGTTCAACAGGTTAAACCGTGAACCGGTGGCATGTCCGGTCCGGTTACCTCACAAAACCGGTCTGGCAATGAACCGGCTGAAAATCGATAAAACCAGGGTGAACCGGCTGAAAACCGACAAAATCGATTTGATCTGCCGGTTCACTTTTTTTCTTTTAAAAATAAAAAATAAACCAAACGACGTCGTTTGTTCAACGAGCCAAGTCAAATTCGAGTATTGCTGAGCTCGACTCGAACTCGAAAACTTTAAAAGTAAGTTCAACTCGACTCAAAAACTCACGAGCTAAAAATTATTAAGTTCAACTCGAACTTGAAATATAATATTAAAATTTGAACTCGAAAAGGCTCAAACTCAAAAAAAAAATTAGAAGTTCGATTGAAGCCTAAAATTTGAGCTCAATTGAAGCGAAAGAATAGTTCGCTCTGTGCTCACCAAAAGGCTCCATAATTTTGAATATCAAATTACCTCTATTATTTATAGAAGTAAGTTGAGATGCTCTTCTATATTTCTTAGCCATGTGAGATTGTTTTTATTTAAAAAAATTAAAACAAAATGACATCATTTGTTATGATTTTTTTAAGCCCCAATTTTTTTATTATAGTTATATAATTATATTTATTATTTAATATGTTTTGCCTTAAATATTATGTTGTAGTTTATTTGAATCATTTTGTTTCACTTGATTTTATGATTTTTAATTTATATATGTTATAACTTGTGATATTTTTATATCTTTTAATATTGTAAACTTAAAAAAAGTGTTACATATATATTAATATTACTTTGAATATTATGTAAAATTAAAAAAAAAATATTATTTTATATAAAATCCGATTCAACCGCCGTTAAACCAATGAACCAGTACCTTCACCGATTCAATGTCCAGTCCGGTTTTAAAAACATTGATCCTCACACTCTATTTCTTCCCCATTATTTGTCCCCTCCGAAAACATTGATCCTTACACTATTTCTTCCCCATTATTTGTCCCCTCCGAAAGAGTCGATACCCATTTATAATATTAACAAAATCCTAGTTTCTAAAACATTTCAACCCAAAGTTAAATTATATAGCTCCGAAAGAGTCAATACCCATTTCTACTATAAACAAAATCCTAGTTTCTAAAACATTTCAACCCAAAGTTAAATTTAACATCTATATGAGACATCCAAAAGTTCTACAAATTCTAATTCCGAGAAGATTATATTCTTTTTATTTTCAGCATCAAAATACTCTTATAAATATTAAATTTTGTGATGTAACTGACAAAAGGAAACTGAAAAAATAAACTTTTATTCAACAAAACTGAAACCACTAATGCTGGTATAAATCCACAACAAAATTATCAATCCTTACTGTCTCTATATCTTATCTCAAGTTAAGTTTTGATGCATATAAAACTTGAATTTTTAAGTAGGAACATTGATTAATACGAGAAAGTAAAGCTTTCTAGCATAAAGTTTCAAACAACAAATGAAAAAAATGCATCCATCTCATATTGTATTTAACATATCAAATTGATTTACAATTTTCAATCAAGTATAACCAGTGATACAAGAACCTCACGACAACAGAGTTACATGAAAATTATTTTCTTAATCAATGCTAATTCAAATCACGTAAAGGAACTAATCCGTAATAAAAGAGAACAGAGAAATAATAATGACCTTTAAAGCCTCAAGCAACGGCGACTGCTTGCCCTTTTTGAGGATCGAGACCGTTCTTAGATTTGTTGTCGGCGAAGTCCTCGGCGTTGTAGATGACCGTGATGTAGAGAGAACAACTTGGGCAACGGGCGATTTCCTCGCCGAGCTTTAGGTCTTCTTTCGTGATCTGGAATAGATCGCCGCATGGGCATGGATAAGTGTGCGCCTGCAATTCCTCGTTCCACTGCATGTCCTCTATTTCCACGTCGTCGTACGACATCGTTCTGGCCAATCAAAGTTGCAGGGTTTTTTTTCTTTCGAAGTTTTGTGTTCGGGAAGAAGAAGATCCCTTTGATTTGTTATCATTTGGGTTTTAGGGTTTCATTATATAGTGAGCGGCCTTTTAGTTCTGTCGGTTTATGACGCGGGTCACAGTTTTGGGTAAATTACAATATCATCCTTTTGAGTTGCATGTATTGATAATTACTCACGATTTAAGTCGTGGCATTATTTTCCTTTGGACCCTCATTTTTTGTAAATTTGGTGATTTGAGCAGGTAAAATTTTATGAAACTTCAATTCAGTTCAATTAAATATTAGAAATCCAAATTGCTCTATTTTTTCTTTGGATGCTGTATACTACTTTACCATTCATTCTAATAACTTCAATGATTTTTATTTAGTTTTAAGCACAATTTATTTTTATAATGTAAAAGTAAATGTTTTATAATTTAAATGATAAAAAATAACTTAAAAATATATGACATAAGAATTATCAATTATTTTTATTTATTTAATTTCGATTATAATGATAATAATAATTTATAAAAGTTAAAATAAAATATATACATATATATCATTTATTGTAAAACATGAAATTTAAGATACGACGTTTTGATTTTGATTAAAAAAAAGAAGATTTTAATCATTTTTTTACTTTTATATGATATATTTTTATAAATTTATTTTTTTAGAAAGTTTCTGATTAATGATTATTATCTCATTAATTATGATTTTTTTTCAAATAAAAAGAAATGAATCACTATCGATCATATAAAATTATTACCATGAATAAGTACTATAATGATATATTTCAAACTCGAGGGCCATTTATGACATAAATCAGGAAAATACAAAATAAAAGCAGAAGGGTGGGGGGGCGGGAACCACGACGGAGACACTTTTAAACGGCATCAGGCGAGGCAAACAAGCGCAGAAGAAGGGAATTGATCAAAGAAATGCGAAGCCATAGATATCTGTACAACAATGATGCAAGGATTGCACCACCACCAACATCAATTTGCGGCTCTCCTTTTCGCTGCTCTACCCAAAAACACCGCCGCCGCCGCCGCTACCGCTTCCGTTGCTACTTCCTACTCCGCCACTGCCTCAACTTCGGTTCCCACGACAACAACGCCGTTGCTCTACCCTTTTAAATGTGTGAAACTCGAAGCTAAGTATGCCTATCTATGTTTCTTCTGCATATGCGTTTATTGTTTTCGCCTGAAACATTTATTTATTTCAGGTGACTTACAAAGTACTGTTCTTGCAATGAGAGATTGTGCATATGAAGCCAGTGTTGCTTTATCTGCATTTGCTCGTGTATCAAGGGGTCATACTGCTTTAACTTCTGAATCTGGTTCAATGCTGGAAGATGTATTGTTTGTACTTTTCTTTAATGTCTATAACAATCAAAAGATGCTTTTTAGGGAGGCCATAAAGCGTCAAAAGCATTTACCGGTGGCTTTGGTTTAAAACCCTTCGTCATCCTATTGAATGAAAAATACCAGCATTAATGGTTTTGTTCGTTTACCTAGTTTTTACATCTTTTTTTTAATGTGTTCTTGTAGTTTCATTACTGGTTGGTACTTGGTATCACAATGGTATGACAACTTTATTACTCTTTTTTGCTATTGTGGCAGGCAAATGCAATCCTTCTTCCATTAGAGTCAGTTTTATCCAAGGATGTCTCTGCTATGGCTAGGGAGAGAGAGACCAAGATGGAAGTATCTCCAATACATGGACAAGCAATATACCAGTCTTATGGCTTAAGAGATAGGGAGACTTGTCAGACCTTCAAGCCTTTGTTGCCATCACTTACCTTTTCTGTGAAGGAACTACATTCATTGTTAACCAGACTTGCAAGAACTGCCAGTCTCCATGCCGGGAACCTGCATAAGGTATAATCCAGTTGCAATATTAATAATAATTTAGATTTTATGAACTATAGCACGACAAATTGATGATATCGAGAGTAATAATAGTGCTTGCTCTGTTTCACCAGGCTCTTGAAGGACTAGGTGAAAGCCAGGAAGTAAAATCAAAGAGCATTAGTTTGTCAAGGCCAGAACTTGTTACTAGTGATGCCACTGAATATGATGAAAGAGGAGGTGAGAGCATCTCGACATCAAGCGGTGGGAGCCCCAAAGAACTCGTTGGTCTAACTGGGCTTTCTTTGCATGATAAAGAGTGGATATCACCACCAGATAGCATTGATACTAGCAGTGTGGAATCTAGCATTACCTCAACCGAAACTAGTCTTTCAGATGGCATTAATGATCTAGCGGAGACGATGAAGATTTCCCTTGATTCCAGTCAGAACAAGGCTAATGATGATTTAAATTTAGTTCCATCTTCTCAAAGCAAATATGATGAAATCTCACATCGTGGACCAGAAAATGTCTACCAACGTGGAGGTGGAAAATGCCGATGAAGTGAAATTAGCAACCGATGAGACTAATGAACATCTGAAAGCTGTTCCCTCAGTGAGTGATGAATCAGTAAGTAATCCTCTAGAATCTTCACAACCTTCAAACAGGGTGAACTTGGATGTGAAATTTCAGAGTAAGGACGAAGTATCTACATTAGGAAAAGTTGAGGTTGATGATGAGAGTCATGAAGTTCCTGTTCCTAGCACAGACAGGGCGAGTCGTTTAGCAAGGGGTAAGAATAAAATCCAACTTAAAGAATCATCTGTCATGTTTGCTGTTTCCATGCCTTTCATGCTACTTTAGATCTCAATATTGAAATGTTTGTTTTGTTTTGACGAGTAGATAAGGATTATTTTTTCCTTTTTTTAAAAATGAATTATAGTTCCCTCTATTTACTTCCATTGGTGTAACCTATTTCTGTCTGCAGGTAAAAATTCTTACGCAATGTCGGTCCTAAGACGTGTAGAAATGAAATTAGATGGGAGAGACATTACAGATAGAAGGTATATGCTTTCTTTCGAGACTGGAAATAGGTATCGAGTGAAATATGTATTAACAGGCAGTTCTTTTGTTACCTCTTCAGGAAACTTAGCATTGCAGAGCAAGTGGATTATCTATTAAAGCAAGCTACTAGTGTTGATAATCTTTGTAGCGTGTATGAAGGTTGGACGCCATGGATTTGAACTTCAAAGTCTTTGTTTTCAAGGCATTGTCAACTATTGGAGGTACTTCAATTACTTGCCATGTTGTCTGACTAGCCTTCAATCGGGAAGCTTTAACACAAAGGAGTCATAGGAACGATGGAAACTTTCGGCATATCAAAAATGAGAAAAAGAAACCTGGGTCCCCCTTGCAGAACGAACCTGAATCGAGTCACAGCACATGCTCCAGCCCTGTTTCACAATATATCTCAGACAGGAGGTGCTATAGCATCAAGTGTGGATGGCCATGTTTTCGGTTTCCTCTGCCTCCTCCGTATCAGCCCCCGATGACGTTACGGCAACATCAGACATCATTCAGATGGGAACTTCGGTGAAAGCCAGATACAATGTGGTCTCAAGATGATCACCGGTTGACATAAAGATGAAGATTTATGAACATTGGCCAAATGCAAACCAGGCAAGTGTATGGCATTTTCCATCTTTGTTGTCTTAGAAGATGTCGCGTTAACTTTTATCATATCGATGGTGAATAAAAAAGGAAGAAATATATATATAAGATCTGTATACGCTCACTTCCATAGATGGATCTTTATATGTAAACAGTCCTTATTAACATGGTTCACTGGTTCACTGGTTTAATCGGTCAAATCGGTCCGACCGGTCGGAAGAACCGGACGACGTCATAATTATTTAAAAAATTAAATAAAAATACCAAAAATATTTAATAAAAAATAATTTTTTATATCACAAGTCATATTCAAAGCAAATCATAACATATATAAATTAAAAACCATAAAATCAAGTGAAACAAAATGATTCAAATTAACTATAACATAATATTTAAGGTAAAACATATTAAATAATAAATATAATTATATAACTATAATTAAAAAATAAATTTGGGGCTAAAAAATCATAACAAAATGATATTGTTTGGTTTAATTTTTTTTTTTAAAAACAATCATACATGGCTGAGAAACATAAAAGAGCATCCCAAAAGTCTAAAGAGTAAAAATATGAGAACAAAACAATCTCACATTGCTAAGAAACATAGAAGAGCATCACAACTAACTTCTATAAATAATAGAGATAATTTGGCATTCAAAATCATGTAGCCTTTTGGTGAGCATTGAGTGAACTATTCTTTCACTTCAATCAAGTTCGAATTTTAGGCTTCAATTGAGCTTCTAATTTTTTTTTAGTTCAAGCCTTTTTGAGTTCAAGTTTCAATATTATATTTCGAGTTCGAGTTGAACTTGATAATTTTTAACTTGTGAGTTTGAGTGGAGTTGAGCTTACTTTTAAAGTTTTCAAGTTCGAGTCGAGCTCAGCAATACTCGAGTTCGACTTGGCTCGTTTAACAAACGACGTTTGGTTTAATTTTTTTTAAAAAAAACAAAATTTCCGGTTTTTTCTGATTTTTTTCGTTTTTTTTTTTGTTTTCATCCGGTCCGGGTCGAACGGTTCAGCGGTTCTGACCGGTTCACTAGTAGCGGTTCAATCGGTTTAGATTGAACCGAATTAGGCAACGATTCCTGATTGAACTGATTGAACCAGTCGGTCCGGTCCGATTTTCCAAACAATGCTTATTAATGATGCGGTCTTATAATATTGCATATTTAACTTGGACTGAGGAGTTGGCGGGGCTGATGGGACAATTGTTTTATGAAAATTTTAAATATTTGTATAATTTAGGTATTTTTTATAATTTTTATTAGAGAAAATAACCTCAATGACCAAAAATGCCTTATAATATACGAATTTAACCAACTTTGTTTGGATTTGCCAAAATGACCAACAAATTCGCAACGCTATCTCAAATTTGCAACGCGAATTCTAATTTCACAATCCAGTTTCCAATTTCGCAACGCGAATATGTAATTCGCGTTGTGATTTTCCAAATTCGCAACGCGAAAGTCAAATTCGCAACGCGAAAGTCAAATTCGCAACGCGAAAGTCAAATTTGCAACACAAAAGTCAAATTCACAACGAGAACAAATTCGCAACGCTATCTCAAATTTGTAACGCGAATTCTAATTTCGCAACCCAATTTCCAATTTCGCAACACAAAAGTCAAATTCACAACGCGAAAGTCAAATTCGCAACGCGAATTTAATTTCGCAACGCGAATTTAATTTCGCAACGGGTTTAATTTTCGCAACACAAATGTTTTGGGTATATAACAACGCAACAACAGCAACTCATAACCTAAATCCCTAAATCGCAACGTATTCCATCTCCATCTATGACTCTCTCCGACGACATCTGTTCCTATATCCAACGACATCCTACCCCATCTCTATTTTTTTACATAATTTTATTTCTATATAATATTTCAATTATTTCTCTCACAAATTATAAACTATCAACTTAATAAAGGTATGTTTTTCTCTAAGTTAGTGATGATATCTAGTTTATAGCTCGTTTGTTTAGTAAATTAATTTACAATTTATAGAATGAAATCATCTAATGTTGATCATGTTTGGATAGATTTGTGTTTTGGAGGGTCATGGGAGAATGTTCATGGTGTTTTACAATATGTGCCTTTACCCATAAATCTTCAACTAAAACTGTCATTAAAAAAGTTAACTTATGAAACTCTAATGTTACATGTTGCAAAGAAATTGAATTTATAGTCTCTAAGTAGATTTAGACTATCTTATTAGAGAAAAGATAAAGTTTATTTGTTAACCGACAATAAAGATGTTGAACTATTCATTGCTTACATTAGTGTTTCGCAAGAAGATGATGTTACATTGTATGTTGTTGAACCTAGAAGTAGTGAAGTTGAGTCAGTAGCGGGTAGTAATCAACTAAGTTTTTCAACCCAAAATTTAATGGTTCCACCATAATTTCATCACCAAACACAAATTTTGTTTCACCACATTTCCATTATCAAACACAATCTCAAAACCCACAATCTTTTCCTAATCCAAATCTCAATAAAATTTCAGCACCAAATTTCGGTTTTCGTATTGACCAGTTAGACGATTATAAGCCAACAGAAAAAATTGTGAGTACTAGTCAGTATTCGAAATTTGATCTTGGTCAATACCATGACTTTGATCTTGGTAAATACTCAGATTTTGATGATGTGATGGAAGAAGAAACAGACCCTGCATGTAATGATTTTGATATTAGTCAATACCCGAATTTTGATGATGAAACAGCCGCTGCCGAGGAAGATGTTGTTGATGATAATGAGGAGGAAGTTACGACTGTGAATGAACATGTTGAACATCCATTCTGTAATTCATATAACCCTGAAGAAGAAGAAGAAGAAGTCCCCGAAGAAAGGAAAAAGAAGAAAATGCCACGGGAGTATAACTGGAATATGCCAGAATTACTTCAGATACCGGAAGAAGAGTTGGTAAAGATATCAGTTGATTGTTACACAAAAGTTATTCGTATCAAGAAAGATGATTGTTTTGATACAAAGGAAGACTTGAAGATAGTTTTGTATACAAAATGTGTGGAAGATGACTATCAACTAAGAGTTAACAAATCAAGCAAATATCGTTTCGAAACAAGGTGTATGATTGACAAAAACTGTACGTAGCATATGATTGCAAAGAGGATAAAAGATTGTGAAATGTTTCAAGTTAAGACTTTTATTGATAAACATACATGTTCAATAACCCAATTTTTTCCTCACTATAGACAGGCAAACAAAAAGGTGCTGGGTGGTTTTCTGGCTGAGTTAATGTTTTTGAATGGAAGGGTATATCGGGGACATGAAATTATGACTGACATGAATGCTCGGTTCAAGATTAGTATCTCATATTCTCAAGCTTGGAGAGCCAAATGTTATGCCTTGGAATTGTTGAGGGGGTCTCCAGAAGCATCGTTTGCCCAACTGTCGGCTTATTATCACAATTTAAAGCTGAAAAATTCTGGGTCGGTAACTCATATCAAAATAGATAGAGATGGACGCTTTGAGTTATTGTTTATCGCCATTGGTGCTGTGGTTAGTAAATCATTATAATTTTGTTGACTCGTTTTTGTTAGTTGCATGCATTTCACATTTAAATGATTATATTTCTTATGTATATGATTTTGTAGATTCGTTCGTTTGTTACTTGCATGCGCCCAATTATTATAGTTGACGGAGCACATTTGAAAGGTCGATACCTTGGAGTAAACTTATTAGCAGTAGCCATGGATGCTAACAATGGGATACTGTCAATAGCTTACGGGGTTGGCAAATCTGAAACCTCTGATTCATGGACATGGTTTATGGGACATCTTAGGGATTGCATAGGTCCTATTAGCAATCTGACAATTATATCCGATAGGCCAACTCAATTGACAACGCTGTTAGAAGGTGTTTCCCAGATGCTTTTCATGGACTTTGTGGTGTTCATTTGTACAAAAATCTAAAATCAAGGTCTGCTGGTATAAAAAATCACAAATGGACATACTGGAAGGCTGTAAAAGTTTATCGGAAAGTGGATTTTAATAAGCATATAAATTGTTTAAGACGTGTGTTTTGCCTCAATGTGCTCAAACACTAGACGATGTCGGGTTTGAAAGATGGTCAAGAGTACATCAACTTAGAGCAAGATATGATTTTATGACGTCTAATAGTGCAGAATCAATCAACACTCTAAGTCGTCATTCCCGGAAATTACCCATTACTATATTAATGGAGTTTTTTCGAGCCTCTATTCAACGGTGATACTACAAGAAAAGAAACCATGCAAGTATTATTTCTTTAAATTCGTAACTTATCATATATTTTACTAAGTATTATTTATTTAAATTTACAGGAACATTGGAACGTCGTGTTACACCATGGACTGAAAAAAAGATAATGAAATGTGTTGTGAAGTCAACGTCCTGGAGAGTTGAACCATGTTCAAACACTTTGTTTGAAGTGTTGGATAATAACTTAAATGGGCTTTTCGATCTAAATGCAAAGACGTGTAGTTGTAAGAAATGGCAAACATCTGGTTATCCGTGTGACCATGTTATAAAAGTTGCTCTTCATCTAAACCAAGATGATTCAAGCGCATACGCTATGGATTGCTACACTACAGAAGTATATTGACAGACTTATGCCGAAATTGTTTACCCATGTCCACATCCTTCTGAGTGGGACATACTAGATGACTTACAAACAGTTTTGCCACCAGTCATGGACAGCAAGCTACCTGGCCGACCAAA